TAAAAAATATTTTTAAAAAATCCACGTTTATTTGTGGATCTTGAAAAAATATTTAAAAAAATTCACGTTTATTTGTGGGTCTTGAAAAAATATTTTTAAAGAATGCACGTTTATTTTGGGATCTTGAAAAAATATTTAAAAAAAAATCCACGTTTATTTGTGGAACTTGAAAAAATATATTTAAAAAATCCACGTTTATTTTTGGATCTTAAAAAATATATTTTTAAAAAATCCACGTTTATTTTTAGTCCTTGAAAAAATATTTTTAACAAATCCACTTTTATTGGTGGACCTTGAAAAAATATTTTTAAAAAATCCAAGTTTATTTTTTGTCCTTGAAAAAATATTTTTAACAAATCCACTTTTATTGGTGGACCTTAAAAAATATTTTTAAAAAATCCACGTTTATTTTTAGTCCTTGAAAAAATATTTAAAAAAAATCCACGTTTATTTGTGGAACTTGAAAAAATATTTTTAAAATATCCACGTTTATTTATGGATCTTAAATAATATATATTTTAAAAAAAAATCCACGTTTATTTTTAGTCCTTGAAAAAATATTTTTAAAAAATCCACGTTTATTTATGGATCTTAAATAATATATATTTTAAAAAAATCCACGTTTATTTTTAGTCCTTGAAAAAATATTTTTAACAAATCCACTTTTATTGGTGGACCTTGAAAAAATATTTTTAACAAATCCACGTTTATTTTTAGTCCTTGAAAAAATATTTAAAAAATCCACATTTATTTTTCATCCTTGAAAAAATATTTAAAAAAAAAACACATTTTTTGAATCCTTTAAAAAATCCACATTTTTTTAGTCCTTGAATAAATATTTTAAAAAAATCCTCGTTTATTGGTGGACCTTGAAAAAATATTTTAAAAAAATCCTCGTTAATTGGTGGACCTTGAAAAAATATTTTAAAAAAATCCTCGTTTATTGGTGGACCTTGAAAAAATATTTTAAAAAAATCCTCGTTAATTGGTGGACCTTGAAAAAATATTTTAAAAAAATCCTCGTTTATTGGTGGACCTTGAAAAAATATTTTAAAAAAATCCTCGTTAATTGGTGGACCTTGAAAAAATATTTTAAAAAAATCCTCGTTTATTTGTGGACCTTGAAAAAATATTTTAAAAAAATCCTCGTTTATTTGTGGACCTTGAAAAAATATTTTTAAAAATATATGTTTATTTTTAGTCCTTGAAAAAATATTTTTAAAAAATCCACGTTTATTTTTAGTCCTTGAAAATTTTTTTTAACAAATCCAAGTTTATTGGTGGACCTTGAAAAAATATTTTTAAAAAATCCACGTTTATGAGTGGAACTTGAAAAAACATTTTTAAAAAATCCACGTTTATTTGTGGACTTTGAAATAATATTTTTAAAAAATCCACGTTCTTCTGCGGACCTCGTAAAGATATTTTTAAAAAATACACGTTTTTTGGTAGACCTTGAAAAAATATTTTTAAAAAATCCACGTTTTTAGGTGGACCTTGAAAAAATATTTTTAAAAAATACACGTTTATAGTTGGTCCCTGAAAAAAAAATTTTAAGGAAGTCCACGTTTATCTATTTCTTCTCTAAAATTTTTATAAAAAAAAATTATCAAAAGAAATTTGAAAGCCTAAAATAAATGTTATTTAATTAATAAATAATGCCAACAGCAGTGTGCGTATAATTAACATTAATTGAAGACTTTGGTGCGTATGAGTGTTGTCAAGACGTATACGCCCTCCAAAATATTAACTATTATGTTTACTTGGTTTTTGAATAGATTTTTTGATATTCAAAAATCATCACCCTCCTTCGGCATCACCCTTTCCCTTTCATTGCTTCTCTATTTGCATCATTAAAAGACATTGAGACATTAAGCAGCAGCCGACGACGACGAAGAAGAGTTAAAAATTTTGTAATTCTATTCTGTTGATGCTTAAAGTTTTCTCTGTACTTATTTGTTGTTGTTACTGGTGGCTTAAGGACTCAAAATGCAATTCAATAAACAGCTAGAAATAATTCATCTGTTGCTTGGAAGACGAAGTGTTATTTCAGCTCCTCGCGATTGTCAATGTTTAATTACTGACAACTTTTGCAAGGAAGTAGCAAATGTTGCGCCGTGATGGTGTAAAGAATGATACTTAAATTTGGGAATATCTTTGAAAGGATAATGATGATTACAGACACTGGGGAGTTACAACTTGATGAGTAATGCTTTAAATTAGATGAGAAGGCATTGAGTGGCAATTGAAGGTAATATAGGGTTCTAGCACTTGGAATCGTAAGGCATCATAAGTGGGGGAGGTGTTGGCAATTGTGCTACTTAAAGAGATTTTAAGGAGGATTTTCGGATAACACTGTTTCATACTTTGTGTGAGTTTGTGGAAAAATCTCCAACAAATCATGATTTTAGAAGGACGACGTCAGAGACGAAAATATTCTTCATTAGATTCTACTATAAGTCACCGAAGACAAGAAATCTCTATTTCCACTGAATATCCAAAAATATTTGCATCAAAACCCCAAAAAATATACCTAATTTTTTATTAAATTTTCTCTGGACTTTTTTCGATCGGACGCCTGAAAATGACCTTAAATTTCATTTTAGACGAAAGATATCCAAAGAACAAATATTCTACACAACATTTTACTACGAATCTCAGAATTAACCATATATCTAGGTGCTATAGTTTTTAAGAAAATTACATTTGAATTTTATGAACTAAAAGTGAAAATTATGTCTTTGTAATTTTTACTCTTTAAATTGACATGTTTCCAATCCAAGTTAAAATCTCCCTTTATACTTCATTTTTTGGAGAAAGTGTCAGAAGAAAAATTATTCTACATCAAATTTCATTGAGAGTTTCTGAAGAAAATAAATTTCTATATTCGATGTGTACCATGAAAAAATATCATCAATTTATGTTAATAAAAAAAATTGTTTATTTTTTTTTTTTTTTTAATTTTTTTCTCGGACTTTTTTTGATTTGACGCCTGAAAGTTTCATAAAATTTCATTTTAGGCGAAAGGAGTTAAAAGAAGAAATATTCTACACTAAATTTCACTACGAATCTCAGAATTAACCATAAATCTAGGTGCAATAGTTTTTAAGAAAATTGCATTTGAAAATTTTGAACTAAAAGTAAAAATTATGTCTTTGCAATTTTTACTCTTTAAATTGACATGTTTCCAATCCAAGTCAAAATCTCCAGTTAAACCTCATTTTTTGGGGTAAGTGTCAGAGGAAAAATTATTCTTGATCAAATTTCATTGAGAGTTTCTGAAGAAAATAAATTTCTGTGTTCGATGTGTACAATGAAAAAATATAATTGGTTTATGTTAATAAAAAACATTGTTTATTCATTTTTTTAGTAATTTTTCCTCGGACTTTTTTTGATTTGACGCCTGAAAGTTTCATAAAATTTCATTTTAGGCATAAGGTATCAAAAGAAGAAATACTCTACACAAAATTTCACCCTCAATCTCAGAATAAACCGTACATCTAGGTATAATAATTTCTACGAAAATTACATTCAAAATGTGTGTACTAAAAGTGAAAATTATGTCTTTGCATTTTTTTTACTGTTTAAATTAGCATGTTTCCAATCCAAGTCCAAATCTCCATTTATACCTCATTTTTTGGGATAAGTGTCAGAGGAAGAATTATTCTAAATCAAATTTCATTGTGAGCCTCTGAACAAAAGAAAGTTGTATTCTTAATATATACCAAAGAAAAAATGGCATATATTTTCTTAATAAAAAGCCTAGCTTAATTTAGCACTGTTTCCGATTTTCTGTAAATTTTCTTAAAATTTTGCTGCACAAAGCCAGTCTGGCTTGTGGAAAATCTAAAGTGAACCTGTTTTTAGATCAAAACCCCAAAGGGTTCTGCGAAAAAATCTGTCTTTAAATTTAAGTGAATTTTTTTAAATTAAATTCTAAAGCTCCATCCCGAGTTGATGTCACCTAATTAACCTACCCCAACTGAATCTTCATTTTTCAACTTTGATGGCATCATTTTCTCTCTTGCACTTGGCATAAATGCTAATTACATTTACTTAATTACCACAATTACCTGAGTAATTGCAACGTAAACGACTTAAACGGAAGGTAGCAAAATAATACTTAACAAATTGCTTCCTAATGATGGCAAGAGACGCAACAGGTCTACGCCGTCTGCTGGCAGAGTAAGATGAGTACTTGGCCATGAGTGGGAAGAGAAATGGCAAGAGTGGCAACATGTCTGTGCCGTCTGCTGGCAATAGGAGATGAGTACTTGGCCAAGAAAGAGTAGAGGAATTTTGAGGGAAAAAAGAAAAAAAATTTAAGAAAATTTTAAATGGAAATTTCACAGAAAAAACATTCTGTAGGAGAGTGTTAAGTTAGTTTTAAGACGGGATTAGGTTTTTTTTTATTTTTTTAATGATTTTTAATAAAAAAAAATATAATTGGACAAGAAATTTTGAGAAAAAATTTTTAAACCTTAAAAATTATTTTAATCATTTCAGGGTCGATTTAGTAATTATTTATAATTTATTTAATTAATTGTTTAGGAATATTTTTGTTTTTTAAATCTTAAATTTTGAAGGAAACACAAAAGGGGAATTTTTTAAATTTTATTTCGATTTTTAAGCATACATTTTAACAAATAAATTTAATTTAAATCATTTCGGGGTCAATTTAATTATTTTTTTTTTTATAAAAATTTATTTAATTTATTAATTATTTATTTATTATTATTATTAATTAATATTAATCGTTGTAGTAGGGTACGTATGAGTAATATTAATTTTTGATACTCCGGCGTATGAATGTTGCCACTACGTATACGTTTTTTTATTAATAAATTCTGAAATGAAAATTCCACCGGAAGAAATATTTAAGGAGAGTTTTAAGTTAATTTTAAGAAGAGATTAGGTTTTTTGTTTTATTTTTTTAAATTGTTTTTTTTATAAAAAAAATAATTATAAAAAAATATTTTTTCTCTTTCCCCCTCTTTTAGATGAGCCCACCATCAATCAGGCCACCACTAATATGGTTGATGGCATTGATCTAGATGAAATTAAAGAATTTGCCAAAGCATTTAAGTTAAGACGTTTATCATTGGGCCTAACCCAGACCCAGGTGGGTCAGGCCCTATCTGTTACCGAGGGTCCAGCATACAGTCAAAGTGCCATATGCAGGTGAGTGGAAACCAAATTTATTTATTTTTTTTTTTTATATATTTTTTATTAAAACGTAGAAAAATGTCCTTTGTAGTCATATTTTTAATTTCATATTTATAATTTTTCTAAAATTTTAATTTTAAATGAGAGGAGAATTTTTTAAAATTTAATTCTTTTTTTAATAATAATTTTTTATTTTTATTTCAAATTTTTGAGAATAAATTTTATAAAAAAATAATTTAATTGAAATAATTTCGGAGTAGATTTAATTATTATTTATCAAATATTATTTTTTTTATAATTTTCTTTTTGAAACTAATACGAAAGGAGAATTTTTTATATTTTATTTGGATTTTTTACAATATATTTTATTATTTTTAATTTAATTTAAATCATTTCGGAGTCGATCCAATTATTAATTATCATTTATTAATTATTTAATTCATTAATTAATTATTTATTAATATTATTAGTATTTTATATTAATTTTCAATCTAAGGCGTATGTGTGATGCCACAACGTATACGCGTAAGACATTTCAAACAAAAAACATTGCCTACTTTTAGGATAAAGATATTGAATTTTAATATTATTATTTTTTTTTTTTTTAATTTTTTAAGTAGATTTTCCTTTGATTTTATTTTTATTTAATATTTAAAAATTAAAAAAAAACTTTAATTTTGAAACTAACACCAGAGGAAAATTTTGAAATTATTGAGAATAAATTTTATAAAAAAATAAATTCATTTTAATCAATTCGGAGTCGATTCAATTATTAATTATCATTTATTAATTATTTAATTCATTAGTTAATTATTTATTAATATTATTTGTATTTTATATTAATTTTCGATCTAAGGCGTATGTGTGATGCCACAACGTATACGCGTAAGACATTTCAGAAATTTCAAACAAAAAACATTGCCTACATTTAGGATACAGATTATTAAATTTTAATGTCATTATTTTTTTTTTAATTTTTGAAGTAGATTTTTCTGTGATTTCATTTTTATTTAATTTTTAAAAATTTTAAAAACTTTAATTTTGAAACTAATACAAGAGGAGAATTTTGAAATTATGGAGAATAAATTCTATAAGAAAATAAATTCATTTCGGGGTCGATTTAATTATTATTTAAAAGAAAACGTTGTTATATGGAGCGTATGGTTAATATTGTATTTTGAACAATAGGCGTATGAATAATGCCACAACGTATACGTTTTATTTTTTTGATTATGATTTATATTTCTGAAAATTCAAAATTTCAAAAAAAATATTTATTTCCTACTTTGTGAAAATTTGAAATAAAAACTGTCAAAAAAATATAAAAAAAAATATTTTATATTTTCACAGAACAAGATTACAGCCCAGAACAAAAAATATTTTTTTTTTCTTTTTGTGAAAATGTTTTTTTTTTTTTTTTTTGTGAAAAAGTGAAGCAAAAACTTTCAAATAAAAATAAAATGTAACAGAAATATTTTTCATTTCAAATTTGTACAGCACAAAAATTTACAAAAATTATTTTAATTTCAAATTTTCACAGAAAAAAAATCCAGACCCATTTCTCCTATTAGTACTAATTTTTTATAAAATAAAAAAATACATAAAAATTATTTACATTTATCTGTAGTTTATATACAATACCAATTAGTAGAATTTTTACAATTTATTATATCAACATTATTATTTTTTCTGATTATTTTTTATAGCCTCTATAACAGTTATTTATTTATTTTTTGTTTTTTGTTCCTCATTTACCACTACCAACTTTCCGAAGAACAAAAAAAGAGTTATTACAAAAAAAAAAACCGAAAAAAAACTAACCAAAATTTTTGTTATTTATTTATTGTGCCAGGACATTTGTTTCTTTCAACTCTCAAAACTAACCAAACAATTGCTAATTGCTTTTTAATACAAATTAATTGAAATAACAAAAATACAAAAAAAATATTTATTTTCTATATATGTATACTTTTTTTCCATACCTTCTTGTTTACGGCTTTGTTACGAACGAAAAATCAAAACACAAATCCCCTGACACCCCCAAACCACGAATCCAAAATCCAATCGAAACGAATGACAAACAGTGCATTAGCCGCACAAATGTACGCTGCTCAACTCTCGTCTCAACAGCAAAACATGTATGTTGAAAACGGAAAAAATAAGTATGAATCAATCAATTTTTTTCAGTATAAAAAAAAAATTAAAATTTAGAAATACTAAAATTAATTGTTTGCTTTGTTGTAACTTAAACAAAAACATAAATAAACATGAAATATTTACAAAATTTAACGCAATTTAGGATAATTAAAGAAAAAATAAATAGATATTAAGATGTGTTTAAAACAATAATAAAAACTATTCATAAAGTTTAATCAGTGTTTGAAAAAATATTTTTATAAATGTGCGACTATTGTTAGCCTACCTTGGAAATTAAGAATTTTTTGTAATCAAGGCAAAATATTATTTTAAAATATTCACTATAACTTATAATTCTATAAAAGTTTTTTTTTTTTTTTACTCATCCTAATATACAGCATTGAAAAGTAAAATTAAACGAAAACTAAGATTAGTTTTTAAAAATAATTTTCAAAAAGCCCACGGTAATAATTAGACCTAACATGTATTTTTTTAATCCAATACTAAAATTGGACTTTTGCTTTCAGCTCTAAATATTATTATTATTATTTTTTTTTTTTTTTTTTTTTTTTTTTTGGAAAATTTAAATCTATTGATAACCTTTTAATGATATTAAAATATCTTCAGCTTTGGAAAAATATTTTTTTAAAATTAAAATGTGGAGAAAAAAATTAAATTGAAATATGAAGAAAAAAAATTTTAAATATTAGAAATATTCTTTAAGAAATCTACAACTATTGACAGTCTTGAAACATTTAAAAATTAATTTTTAATGTTCCTGACTCTAGAAAAGTTATAAAAAATATCAAAAATATTTTTTAAAAATTATTTTGAAAAAAATCGCGGTATAATTAATTTTTTAATCCGATACTTAAATTTACCTTTTTCTTTCGGCTCTAAATATTTTTGTTTTTTTTTTTTTTTTTTTTTTTGGAAAATCTAAATCGATTGATAGCCTTTAAATAATTTTAAAATATTTTAGCTGGAAAAATAAATATTTTTTTTAAGTCCGCTTGTGCTATTTTTTTTTAAGTCCGCTTATGAAGCATTTTAAAAAAATCCACGACAATAATTAGTCTAGAAAAGCAAAAAAAAAAAAATCCAAGATTATTGATTGTTTTCAAAAACATATTATTATTAAAAAAACAAACATTTAAAATTATAAAAAAAAAATATTTTAAATATTTTAAAAAAATGTTGGAAGCTTTGAATTTTTTTTAAGTTTCGAGGCGCTATCTTTTTAATAAATATTTTTTTTTTTTGAATCTGTTACTGATCGCCTTGAAATAACATAAAATGATATATACCCTCTGTAGCCATATACAGAGGGTATATATCATTTCATGCGGCCAAAAAATGACTCATCGAAATAACGGTTTTAGACCCTAGGTCTATTTGGACCAAATCCGTTTCAGGACATTTGAAGTCGATTTCGCCCATCCTTCTGCCTAGCTTTTTGGCTGGCTTTTGTGCATCATAACTCTCGAACTGAGTATCCGATTTGGTTCACACTTACAAAATGTTATTATCAAACTTAAATCGAGTTCGGAAATGACCAATATAGGTCCCCTCCTGCTGGTGCCTCCCCCACAAAAACGTCAAATTTTTCTTAGAACAAGAAGAGATCATCCAATTTTGTGCAATATTTTCAAATCCTAATATTTTTATCCGTTCTAGCCAAACTTCGAAAATGGACAATATCGGCCCAATCCATCAAGTACCTCCCTCCCAGTAAATGGTCAAAATTTTGAATAGGTATAACTCTTGTAAATGTAAAATAAAGATTTTGATTGTCTTAAAATTTCGCACATCTTAACCAAAACAAGATCTGGTATGAGAAACTGATGGAACGAACCTCCCCCAACGGGTATCTCTCGCACAACGGTTAAAAATTTTGAAATTTCGGCCATCCAGCTTTCAAAACGCGAAATATTATTTAAATAGGACGAAATCAATTTTCAAAATATTGCAAAAATTTTCGATTAATTAGAAGATTTTAAAGAATCATAATTTTTGGAAAAGAAAAAATTTTCATTTATTCAACGGATGATGATTTTGAAAAGCTCCGAGATTCTCAAATTTATGGAAGCTTTTAAATTTTTAAAATTGGTTTTTTGAAAATATTTTTTTAAATATTCTATCAAAATGAAATTTTTCGGAAAATATATTTACTAATGATTTTTTTTTAAATTAAAAACAACCAAAAATTCTACCATTTTTCAACAATTTGATTTCAAAACTTCTAACTGCATCAATTGTTTTTTTGATGTTGGAATATTCAATATTTTTATGAATATTTTCAAAAAACTCCACCTTCATTAAAATTCCGTGTTTCAATAATTCTATATTTATTCAAAATATTTATAAAAAAATATTTATATTTTATAAAAAAACATATGATTAAAAAAATTATAAAAATAATTAAATTTTTATTGAAAATTTATGAATAAAAAATGTCGTGTAATTTTATATTTATTAGAAATATTTTTTAATTGAAGATAATTACAAATATTTGTCAAATATTACAAAATATTAAATAAGAACAGTCCACAATCATTGCACAAAAAAATTTTCCAATAATTCCAAGAATTTATATTTCCCCAAAAAATTAAGCAGTTTTAAAAAAAAATATTTTCTCAATATCTTGAAAAATTCGCATTTCAAAATAGTCATTAAAATATAATATATTTTTTTATATTACTGATAGGCTTTTAAAAAAAAAATTAATTCCTATATTGCGTTAAATTTTGTAATTAAATCACAAAAAAAAAACAATAATTTAATATTTTTTCTTTCAATTATTTTCGTTTAATTATTAATTTACTTTTAGTATGCGCTAAACTTATAAAAAATTACAGGCTGTGTTGTTTTTGTATTGGCCAGGGCATTGCCACACATATTTAAATATATAACTTAAGCTCACTTAAATATTTAAACAGAATGATAGAGAGAGGGAGAGAGTTAACTCTCTCCCCCCAAAAACAACTCATTTGATGAGAACAAAAAGAAAACCTTGTTTGCTTATTTTTGGCTTTTTTATAAAAATATAGAAATTATTTTGAACAATTCAAAAAAAAAAAATTGAACAATTCTGAAAATCGAAAAATCCCCTGTGAACAGACAATGTCCTGGCACTTTTTTTTAAAAGAAAAAAACAAAACCTGAAGCGCATACTAAAATTAGAAAAACACGAAACAGAACGATTTTCTTCCCGACTTACATTATTATTTTTTCCATAACTCTCCTTAGGTTCGAAAAGCTGGATATAACACCAAAGAGCGCTCAGAAAATCAAACCCGTTCTCGAGCGTTGGATGAAAGAGGCCGAAGAGAGGTGAGAGTATGGATTAAGTTCCTACAGCGTTTGCTATTAGTGGCGTTTCTAAGGATTTACTAACTTTGGTTTTTCTCTTTCTCTTTTCTCTCTCTCTATTTTCCATTCATTACTCCCAGCAGTCACTGGAATCGTTTCAAGTCGGGCCAAAACCATCTAACCGATTACATTGGCGTTGAACCATCAAAGAAACGCAAACGACGTACCTCGTTTACACCGCAAGCCTTGGAGCTTTTGAATGCTCATTTTGAGCGCAATACCCATCCATCGGGTGAGTGGTAATTTCACAATTTGCCTCAAATAAATAATACAATTTCAATTTATAATGTTTTGTGAATTTTTTATTTATGTATTTCTAGAAAGCTTTCTTCAAAAGCTTCAAGTGCTATAAAGCAAATTGATTTTTTTTATAATTTTAAACGTTTTTAGTAATTATTTTATAATTTTTGAAAAAAAAAAACCTGAAAGCTTTTTATAAAATGTTAGCTTTCTTCAAACGCTTAAAATGTGATAAAGAAATATTTTTATTATTTTAAAAGTCTTTATTCTTTATTTTATAATTTTTGAAAAAAAACCTGAAAGCTTTTTATAAAATGTTAGCTTTCTTCAAAAGCTTAAACTGTGATAAAGAATTTTTTTTTTTTATTATTTTAAAAGTTTTTATTATTTATTTTATAATTTTTAAAAAAACAAACTTGAAAGCTTTTTATAAAATGTTAGCTTTCTTCAAAAGCTTAAAATGTGATTAAGCATTTTATAAAGCAAATTGTGTTTTTTATAATTTTGTTGTTGCAAAATCGTCAGGCAAAATCCCATTATTGTTGTTTTTATAAAATATAATTTTAAAAATTTTTATTAATATTATAATTTTTGAAAAAAAAAACTTGAAAGCTTTTTATAAAAGCTTTACATCTTCCCAATATAAGTTATGATCGAAATCATATTCATTACATGAACTATTCAGAAAGCTTAAAAGCTTTCCTTCGTGAAATCTACTTTTTTTAAAGAAAAAATAACTCAAAACATAAGAGATTATTATTAAGATTATAATTTCCAAAAAAAGTAGACACCTATCAAAAATTTAAATAATTTATGGTAAAGATGATTGTTATTAGTTAATATATTATTGAGAAAACTAAAAAGCTTTTTTTATAAAAGCTTTCATAGGAAATACGATTTTTTTAATATTTTACTTTCTAGTTTTTTTATTTTATTTTTTTTTTTTAACTTAAAAAAATTGTTAATAATAAATCTTTTCTTCCCCTCATTTTTGCTTTTCAGGAACCGAAATTACCGGCCTGGCCCATCAATTAGGCTATGAACGTGAAGTTATACGCATTTGGTTCTGTAATAAACGTCAAGCTCTCAAAAACACCGTACGCATGATGTCCAAAGGTATGGTGTAAGTCGTCGTCGTCACACCCATTACACCATTATCAAACTGGGAGAGTAGGGAATTTGAGAGAGCGTCCTTTCCTGCAGTGGACTACCATCAACAGCCAGCCATCTGAACAAAAACAAAATTACAAGGGAAACATAGCTATTCCAATCATATAAATTTTGTATAGAAAAAAATATTAGAATAATAATTCTTCATATGTATTCTTCAAGTTTTGAAAAAAAAGGAAAGAGAGAGCTTTGAGTTGATAAAGAGCTTTTGGTCGGTGAATATGCAAATTAATGTTTTAAGAAGCATATTTTAAAAAGTTTACAATATTGTTAAGTTTCGGAGAGCGAAAGAAAGTATTCTCCTCTTAAAATTTGAAAAGAACGAATACCTTTTTAAATTCTTTTTATTTATTTTTTACAAAACATATATCATTATTTGGAAAAAATTGTAGGAATAGATAGTTAGAATAGTTTTCTATAATATTGTTTGTATTCAATCTTAAAATTCAATTTTAATTTTAAATGGTGTTTTCTCTATTGTTTTTAAATTAATTGTTAATTTGTTATATTTTTTTATTGACGAAAAATTTCAGCATTTTTAGAGGTTTGAAAAAAATTCGTGGCTTAACTCTAGTTTAGTAAAAACTTTTATTTTTTTATTATTTTTCAAGAGGTAGATATTTTTGCCATGATTCCGGTAAATTTTTTTTTCTTGGGGGAGGACCACATTTTTGACACAAAAATCCGATTGCAAGACCCGGTCTAGACCCGGATTACACAAAATTTTCTAAGATCGAGGATCATGATGAGAATTGAGAAAGCCTTCCAAGGGGCGTAAAACAAAGGGTTAGTAAAGTATTTGGAGAATTTGAAGGAATTCGGAGAATTTGAAGGACTAAGTTGAATTTTTTATAAGGCATTTTTAAAGCTTTTCGAATGACAGAAGAGCTAAAGGGAGGCATCTGAAAACGTGGATATAAAAGCTTCACGTAGGCATCCCAACTCAAAAAACAAAAGCTTTCGAGAGACACACCAAACATGATTTTAAAGCTCAATGAAGACAATACAAACGTGGATTTTTAAAGAGTTTTAAAAACTTTTCAATGCTGAATATTCACTTAAAATACCTAATCAAGGTTTTTTTACGAACTTCGAAAGTATTTCCCAAACGTGGCTTTAAACCACCTCAGGAACCTAAGTCGAGGATATTTTAGAGAATTTTTAAGAGTTGAGAGATGTATGCAATACCTGGATTTTTAAAGCCACCTCAAGAACCTAAGTCGAGGATATTTTAGAGAATTTTTAAGGGCTAAGGAGTGGATTTCAAAGGGATTTTAAAAGCTAATGCCGGCAACTCACACGTGTATTTGCAATGAATTTTGAAGGTCCAATCGTGTATTGCTTTAAAGATTTTAAAAGCGATATGGAAGCATCTCAATCGTGAATTTCTTAAGAATTTTAAAAGTTCAGGAAGGGGCCTAAGACCGTTTTTTACCAATTTTAAAATCTTCAGGGGAGCATCTCCATTTAAGATTCTTTTTTAAACAATTTTTAAAGCTCCATATAGGCATTATGAACATGGATTTTTAAAAGCTTTTTTTCGCTTTGGTACTTAAATGCCATTTTAATGACAAATTTTAAGACCTTTTAAAAAAAATTTAAAAGCTTCATAGACACACCCCAAACGTAGATTTTTTTAAAACCACCTGAGGATCCTAAATCGGGAATAGTTTACTGATTTTAAAAAGCCTGTAAGGTGGCGCCCAAACTTGAATGCCTTAAAGGATTTCGAAAGCTTTAAGATTGCACAATATAGTTCGATTTTTAAGACTACCTAAAGGACCTTATTCAGGATGTTGTTAAAGAAATCTGAAAGCTTCATAGAGGTCCCACAAAAGGGGATAATTTGTGGCCACCTAAAGGGCCTTATAAAAAAACGTGTTTGTAGAATATTCAAAGTCTCCCTGAAGGACCTAAATAAAGGAGTTCTTAAAGAATTTTAATGCATTCTAAACCGTCTCTGAAGGACCTAAATTCAGGATTATATTACATTTGAGTATTTTTTAGGATTTGTAAAGCATACCTCAAGGACTTTAATTTATGTTCTTATTAAAGGATCTTACTCTTGAATTCAAAGAATTGTTATTGCATTGTACTGGATCTCATAAAGGATAGTACTAAACATTTTTTAAGCCCCCAGTAAGGACTGGATTTTAGAGTTTTCAAAAAAAAATTTTGGACACATAAAAGCTCCACCCCGCATATTTTTTAAATAATTTTTTGTGCCTCCGAAAGAATATAAATCAGAAACATTCAGAAGAAGTTTCAAGCTTTATAAAAATTTCTCTAAGACTTCTTTGATGGATGACATTAAAGGACCTCTTTTACTCTTTAGGACACTTGCTCTTGAGGATAATTTGAAGAATTATAATGGCCTCCGATTACATTTTGGATTTTTAAGTAACTTGGCCCTCAAGCCCGTCTTTTTATAAAATTATTTTTAAAAACTTCTTAAACTGGTTTCAAAGCTTCCCAAATAGAAAAACTTTTGAAATTTCTTACTATGGAAGATAAATGGGGTTCTCTTAAAATATGTAAGTCCTTCTGAAGGACGTAAAGTAGGAATTTTCTAAATTTCCTTAAAGGACCACAATTGCGCATGTTTTAGATTTTTTTAAGTCATCCTTAAGGACCACATTTTAGATCTTTCTTCTAAATTTTAATTTTTTTAAAGGAATTACCAAAATCCAGGACATTTTCAAGAATTATTAAAGCCTCCATATAGAACCTACCTTCAGGATTTTTCAAAGAGTTTCTCAAGCCTCTTGAAGAACACAAAATGTATATTTTTTTAATAATTTTTAAAGCCTCCCTGAAGAACTTAAATCAGGAAAATTAAGAAGAAGATTGAAATGTTACCTAATGTAACTACAGAATTGCGAAGCCTTACGTAATGGACCAAATTAAATAACCTTAAATATCATCCCCATAGAAATTAAACAGGGTATTCAAAACCAAAAAATTAGAGAATTTTTAAAGCCTCTCAAAGAACTTAAATTACATATATATTTAAACCTCCTAAAGGTCCTGAATCAAGTATTTCTTACAGAACTTTTGAAGCCTACCTGAGTGTCAAAATCTATATTTTTAAGAATTTTGAGAGACTCCAATGTGGAGCAAAATTATCGTATTATATATCAATATTGACATTTTTTTCCAAGGATTTAAAAAATATATATTTTTTCTAAGTCTAACTTATGCAGCATTTAATTTTTTTGTTTTTTTCTTTCATTCTTTGAGAATATTTAAGGATAAACATTTATAGAGTTTTTTAATCTTTAATTCAGATTTTGTTTTTTTTTTTTTTTTGTAAATTTTTAGGGCTTCCATTAGTATTTTTTTTATAATATTTTCAGCTTCCTGTTGTTACAGTTTTTTCTGAATTTTTCAAAGTTCGTTGTTCTATTGTTTAATTTTTCTATTGTTTTTTTAATTGTTTTATCAGTAAAAAATCTAGCACAGATTTTTTTAAATTGTTCTATAAAATAATTAAATAAATATATCACATCTGACTCCCTCCAAAGGCTAACTGACGACTCAAAGCTTTCTCTCTCCCTCTCTCTCTCTCTCTCTCTCTCTCTCTCTCTCTCTCTCCTCTTATTCAAACTGTCGCTATCCTCTCAAAACCATGGAAATATTGGAAAATGTAAATATCAAACATAGATTAAGTAGTAATTTAAAAATAAGAACTAAATAAAAAAAATTGATATTAAAACAAAGGCAACAACAAAACTTTTTGTATAGAGAAAAAGTTTATACAACAACACAAAAGACACAATTTAGACATTTTGTAATATTTCCTCCCAAACAAAAAATGCCCACCCTTAAACAAAAACCCAACACTATTTTCCACTTTTTAGATACAATACAAACAACACACCTAAATCTATATAAAACTCATTAATATAATATATATAAAAAAATTAATAATAATTATTATTATGTGATTAAGTGTGTGAAAAAAATTTAAGATTATTTTAATTTTATTTTAATTTTTTTTTTATTAGATGTAAGCTCTTTTCCTCTTTGATGAACTTTTACTCGAAAACTGTCTCTTTATAAAAAAAATGAAAAAAATTAAATATTTATACAAAAATATTTAAAAATTAACAAAAAAAGTTTATAAATTTTAAAAGAAATACTAAACTTTAAAAACAAGAAACCCCCCAAAATTCCTATCAAACTTAGTTTAAACGTAACGTAACTAAAAACAAAATTAATAATAAATATTATATTAAATAATAATTTAATATAAATTTAAATATTAAATAAAAATAAAATAATTTATAATTTTAGGCCATATATATGTAAAGGTGTGTCATAGCATTTATTATTTTATATAGTTTATTATGTTTATAGTGAAAAAAAAACACACATACACACACACAAAAATTAAAAATATGAAAAAATGACAAAATTAGTTGTGGGCGGAAAAGTTTCGGTCATTAAAAGAAAATTCTATTTTTTTGAAAAAAAAAAAGTAAAAATGCTGTAAGTTCGTCCGGGCCGATCCTTGAATACCCTCCAACATTTGGAACGGTTTTGGCAATTTTCGAAAAAAATAAAATCCGTTAAAAATTCAGTTAAAATCTTCAAAATGCCGAATGTTACGTTATATTAGGGTCTACAGGACGACGTGGACCTGCACAGACAATCTCCTGTCATCCATTGCGAACTTCAAATATCAAATTTGGAGCAATTCCGGTGAACAATGCCTCTAAAATCATCAAAATACCGAATATCGGGAGTTACCGTTATATGGGGGCTATATGAAGACGTGGACCTGCACAGACAATTTTCTGTCTAAGGCTGTAGTATCCATTACGAACTTCAAATACCAAATTTGAAACAATTCCGATAAATAATATCACTACAATCATCAAAATACCGAATATTGGGAGGTACTGTTATATGGGGGCTATACGAAGACGTAGACTTGCATAGACAATTTTCTGTCATAGGCTGTAGAATCCATTTCGAACTTCAAATACCAAATTTGAAACAATTCCGAAGAATAATGTCGCTAAAATCCTCCAAATACCGAATATCGGGAGGTACCGTTATATGGGGGCTATACGAACACCAAGACTTGCACAGACAATTTTCTGTCTAAGACTGCAGTATCTATTTCGAACTTCAAATACCAAATTTGAAACAATTCCGGTGAATAATCTCGCTACAATCATCAAAATACCGAATATCAGGAGGTACCGTAATATGGGGGCTATACGAAGACGTGAACCTGCACAGACAATTTTCTGGCTTTGACTGTAGTATCCATTACGAACTTCAAATACCAAATTTGGAGTAATTCCGATGAATAATGTCGCTAAAGTCGTCAAAATATCAAATATCGGGAGGTACTCTTATATGGGGGCTATACGAAGACGTGGACCTGCATAGACAATTTTCTGTCCTAGGCTGTAGTATCCATTTCGAACTTCAAATACCAAATTTGAAAGAAATCCGATGAATAATGTCGCTAAAGTCATCAAAATACCGAATATCTGGAGGTACTGTTATATGGGGGCTATACGAAGACCAAGACATGCACAGACAATTTTCTGTCATAGGCTGTAGTATCCATTACGAATTTCAAATACCAAATTCGAAAGAAATCCGGTGAACAGTGTCGCTAAAATCATCAAAATACCGAATTTCGGGAGGTACCATTATATGGGGGCTATACGAAGACGTAGACTTGCACAGACAATTTTCTGTTTTTGGCTGTAGTCTCCATTGCGAACCTCAAATACCAAATTTGAAACAATTCCGGTAAATAATGCCGCTAAAATCAACAAAATACCGAATATCAGGAGGTGCCGTTATATGGGGTCTATACCAAAACGTGGACCAATATGGCCCATTTTCAATACCAAAAGTCCTGCAGACAGAATATACATTTGAGTAAAATTTTATTAATCTACTTCAATTCGTTCGGAAGTTAGAGTGATTTCCACAGACGGACGGGCGGACATCGCTAAATCGACATGGTAGAGGGTATAAAAAAATGGAAAAAAATTCAAACCGATTCCATAACGGGCCAATACAATAGTTCATTTTCCACATAAGGATAATATTTAAAAATAGATTCCAAATTTCCAAAAAAAATAATAATATTTTTTTTATTTATATTTGGCCTTAAATTGGTTCTCTATTCTCTTCGGTAAAAATATTTTATTATTCCATGCAAATAATACATAAAAAATAATATAAAAAATTAGATAAATTATTTTCAGTCCAAATTAAAAAAAAAAAAATAAAAAAAATCTCCAGGTCCAAAAAACTTCGATTTTTTAAAGAATTTTCAAGGTCGGAACTTTTCAGCCCACGATTTAAAATTTTTGAAAAGAAAATTGACAGCACAAAAAAAACAACAATGATGAAATACTTCTATTCAAACGTGCCATTCCACAAATACAAACGAAAGGAAAACACAGACATACAAAGACAAAAACCCCCCAAGGAAATTTCCCCCATTTCCTTTGGTGAATTTTTATTTAGAAAACATAACCTTATAAAAATAATTGTATATTATTTTCTAAAAAAAAAAATTAAAAAAAAACTAAAAACCAACACACAATGACAGGTCTCTTTTGGGCATAAATTATAAAAATTAAAACAAAAAAAAAAATAAAACAGATAAAATAAATAAATAAAATATAATTGTCTCATACAAAAAACAAAAAAAACTTTTTAGCATTAAAGTAATGAAAAAAATAAATATTATATAACATATGATAATTATAATATTAATATGTACAATTTTATTATTATTATTCTATTTTAAGTAAGACAAACAAAAAAAATCACAACAACAACCACAATAGATCCATATATAAATAATACATTAAACAAAAAAACAAGGTAAAAAATAAAAACAAAAAAATAAATCAATCTAAAATGTAAGAAAATAACTGCAAAAATATTAATTTAAATAAAAAAAAAAAAACAAAAATCAACAAAACAACCAGAAAATAAAATCAATAATAAATTATAGGATTTAAAAAAATAAATAAAACAAACAAATCGAATAACGTACATATTATTACTATTATTTAAACAAATGATTGTAATAACTCAAGAGCAAAACTAAAAAAAAAACCAGCAACAAAAAAAATTAATAAAAAATATGTATAAAAAATTAAAAAATGAAATGTGTTTTATTTTTATTTCGAAAAAAAAATTAAGTCATTCTAAAGTTTAAGAAACGTGGATTTTTCAAATTTGTCCAGAAGGGACATGGATTTTTTTTAATGAATTTTTCAAGGCCACCAAACGAACGGGGATTTAAAAAAATCCAAAGCCAGTGAATTCCAAAAAAATTGGATTTTTGAAAGAAATTCGGGGATTTTAAAAAATCCAAAGCCAGTGAATTCCAAAAAATTGGATTTTTGAAAGAAATTCTAGACGAAATTGAAAATTTATTTCTAAAATAGACTTTTTTTTAATTTTACGGGGTTTTGATTTTTTTTTTTAAAAATTTGGAAAATTCGGACTCTTTTAAATTGACTTTGAAAACGTCCATGAAGATATGAAAATGTAGATTTTTTTAAGAGTTTTTTAAATGGAATCTCGGAAGATTTTCCTTGAAGCACAGAAAACCAGGAAATGAAGATTTTTTATGAATTTTTTCGAGGCCTCATAAACTTTAAAAACTTTGAATTCTGAAAAAAAACTCAAAAATTGATTAAAATTTTTTTGGGCTCTTAACAATTAAAAAACCCTGATTTTGTAAATCTTTCTAAGGTATTTTATGAGATCTCTTAACAGGGATTTTTTTAAGAATTGTTAGTGCCCCTGCATCCCACAAAATGATTATTTTTTAAAGATCAGGCTTCCTAAATAACAGAAAATTATATTTTTCTTTTCAAATAACTTGTAAGGCTACCTAAGGAATACAAAGTTTGGATTTTTTTCAATAATTTTCCAAAAAAGCAAAGAGGTTTTTTAAAGATTTTTCAAGAGCTTTTTAAAACCAGATAATGTGGATTTTAAATAATTTTTTTAATGGCCCCTGAATTCCAGAAAATGTAGATTTATTTACTCATTTTTCTAGAAGATTTTATAAAGAATTTTTCAAACCCCCTTAAAGGCCAGTAAATGTGGATTTTTTTAAGTGATTTTCAAGGTCAAAAAACTTGGATTTTTTCAAGAATATTCTAAGCCCTGCCAAAGTGTAGCAGATGTGGATTTTTTCTAAAATTCTTCAAATCGAAGTTTAAAACTCAATTTTTATAGAACAGGAAATTTGGATTTCATTTTTTCCAGAGTAGAAAATGGGGGGGGGGTTTCAAAAGTTAAAAAAAAAACAAATAATACGGATTTTTTTATTTTTCTTTTGTAATCTTTCAAGAATTTTCCAGAAAACGTAGATCTGTCAAGTAATATTCAATTCCCTTTAGAGACCAGAAAATGTGGATTTTCAAAGAATTTTCAAGCGTTTCTAAAACCAGATAATGTGAATTTTAAATAAAGCCCCAAAATTCCAGAAAATGTGGAATTTTTTACTCATTTTTCTAGAAGATTTTTTGATGAATTTTTCAAACCCCCTTAAAGACTAGCAAATGTGGAATTTTTTAAATAATTTTTCAAAGCCACAAAACTTGGATTTTTTAAAGAACTTTCTAAGCTCTCCCAAAGAATAAAAAATGTGGATTTTTTCTACAATTCTTCAAAACTAGAAAACGTGGATCTGTTAAGAAAATAGATGGAGTTCTTAAAATAATTTTTAAAGGTTTCTTTAAGATTTTTTTTTTTATTTTTCAAGACCAGAAAGCTTGAATTTTTTTGAGAATTTATCAAACCAACACCACCCACCTAAAAGACCATTAAATGTTTTTTTTTTTTTTAATTTTTCAATGCCAAAGAATAAATAAAAGAATATTAATTTTCAATATTTTTTGAATTTTTGAAGCTGAATATGGATTTTTACGGTGTTTACAACTAAATTTTTAAAGACTAGAAAAATTAGAATTTCATTGATTTTTCAAGAGCAGAAGACGAGGGGGTTTTGAAGAGTTTTTCAAATGCCCTTAAAGGCCAGAAAATGTGGATTTTTTTGTAATTTTTCAAAGCCAAAAAAAAGCTTAGTTTTTTTTAAAGAAGTTTCTAAGTCCTGCCAAAGAGTAAGAAATGTGGATTTTTTCTATAATTCTTCAAAACCAGGAAACGTGGATCTGTTAAAGAATTTTCAATACCCCTTAAAGATGAATATCAAAAATTGTGGACTCTCCTAAAGACATTTTTAAGGTCCCATAATGATAAAAAGTAGGTTTTTGGAATATATTTTCAAATTTGAATTCTTGTCAACGAATTTTCAAAGTCCCATGGAGACAAGAAAAAGTAAAGTTAAACATTTCTTCTAGAGTCTAGAAGATGGGCAATTTTTTTAGTTCGCCCTGAAGCACAAAAACCCTTGATGTTTTAAAGAAATTGTCAAGCACCAATATTTACACACAGCTTAGATTTTTAAAGAATTTTTCAAGGCCCCCTAAAGGCTACAAAACTTGTAAAGAGTTTTTGATGTTTCATAAGGGCCAACAAATGCGGTTTTTTATAGATTTTGTAGAGATTTTTTCCAGTTAACAAGGATTTTGAAGAATTTTGTGAGATTATAGTCTTTCCAAAGTAAGAGATATTTTTTAATAATTTGTAAGACTACCATAAAAACACAAATTGTTTTCAATAATAGGAAAAATAGGAAATTGAATTTTAAAAGGATTTTCATCTGCTCCTAAAGATCAGATGACTTGTATTTCTTAAAAAAATTTTTTTTGAAGGGCCCCTAAGAAATAGAAAATATGGATTTATTCATTAAATTTTATAGAACCGAAAATGAGGCTTTTTCCAAAAATGTTTCAAAGGCCAAAAAACTCGTACTTTCCAATGAAGTTCTAAAACCTCTCAAAAGTGAAAAGACGAGCATAGCGCCATCTGTTTGTAGTACGTAAATATTTCTGTTTCTGTCGCTGATAAAGTTTGTAACATTGGTTGATGTCCTCGATACAACAATTTTTGGCATGATGTCCAATGTAGTCAATAGATGGCGATAGCAATTACCGGGTGTCTCAAACATGTATACCAGGTGTGGAAGTTTCTCATTCGTTGAGTTTTTAAGTTGTATATGGACCATGCTAGAAAATAAAAATACAGTCTAAAAATAGGCTATTATATCCTTATAAAACAAGTTTTATTAAAAACAAATCAAAATACAAAAATTAAATATTTTCACTTATAACAACATCTAATTGTTTATATTTTTTGCTGACACGATATTCACAAATGCCATAGCTGAAAGAAAAAAAAAACGGAAATAAAAAAATTAAAAAAAATATTTGGAAACTTTATAGCCATCTCTTACCCGGTACACCCTATTAACAGGACGCAAATCAAAATAATCAATTTCAGTGAAGTACAAAACTGTGAGCTTATAATATAGCCAATGACCGAACCCGTCGATTCCCACAGACGAAAGTTGCTATAACCGGCTATCAAGTCTTTGGGAAACAGGATGCCATAAAATGCTAAAAATAGAAATAAATTAGTTTAGGTTTGAAAATTTGTTAAGCAAAGCTTTAAAGCTCTTCTCCGGTCTTACCATTGATAACAACCAACCAAACACCATCACATATTCCCCATATGGCAGCAAAGGCACAATATTTCATGTAGTCACCCTGTTTCGCCTCATAGAAATACATATAGCCGAAGAGCGAGAGATTCAAAAAGGCACATAGTATTGCCAGATTAATCCGTCCGAATTTTTCAGCAATACCTCCCGCGAAGCCGGCCGCAATGGCATTGGCAACACCGAAACAAATCATGGCAAAGCCAATGTTTGAGATGCCCCAACCACAGGCTACAAAGGACTGGAAAGAGAGAGAGATAATTGAAATTAGTTAAAGGTGGTGAAATCGGATAAAGTCTGAAGCAAACTCTCATTGTAGGTGGCATGACCTCATTGTGTGGCTTTATGCCCCGAAAACAGATTTAAGAAATGAAAATTAAAAAAGAAGACATATCTCCCATTGCCTTCCTACTTAAAGAGAGAGAGCGAGATAATTGAAATTCGCGAAAGGTAATGAAATCGGTTAAAGTCTAAACCAAACTCTAGATGTAGGTGGCATGACCTCATGGTGTGGCTTTATGGCTTGACAACACATAGAAGAAATGCAAATTCAAAAAAAAAGTCATTTCCCCCATTTCTTTCCTACTTATAACGCCTGAAAATATGCATTTGAGTATTCAGACTCCAATTTCTAGTCTTGGAAAAATCTACAGCCACAAATTCGGACAAGTTACATATCTCTCAACTCATCCCCTCTTATACATCGGAAGGTCTGAAACATAGACATTAGAGGGCGATAAAAGTCAATTGAGCTAACATTAAACTCGACATCTAGGTGGCGCCCCAAAAATTTGTGGAATTTGAACTGAAAATTGTTTGAGGAAGTGAAAACTCAAATAAATTATTGGTTGGGCCTTTTAGACACATCTTCCCGGACAAGTCACATATCTCCCATTTCCTCCCTACTTATAACCATTGGAAATATTATTTAAGCTTTCAAACCACAATTTCTTACTTTGGTAAAATCGACAGACAAAAATGCGGACAAGACACATATTTATTAACTCCTCCTGGTTTAGAGATCTGAAGGTCTGAAATATAGACACCAGAGGCCTACAAAATACACCTGAGCTTCCAAACTAAAATTTCTCACGTTGGAAAAATCTACATCTAGGTGGCGCCACTAAAATTTGTGGAATTTGAACTGAAAGCCGTTTAAGGAAGTGAAAACTCCAACAAATGAATCATTGGACCTTTTAGGCACATTTTTCCCAAACATATCCCCCATTTCCTCCCTACTTATTACGCCTGAAAATATACCCTTGAGCTTTCAAACTTCAATTGTTCACCTTTGTAAAATCTACATCTAGGTGGCGCCACTAAAATGTATGTAATTTGAACTGAAATCCGTTTTTAGAAGTAAAAACTCCAACAAATGATTCATTGGACCTTTTGGACACATTTTTCCCAAATAAGACATATTCCCCATTTCCTCCCTACTTATAACTCCTGACAATATAAATCTAATCTCTCGCCTTGGTAAAATCTACATCTAGTTGGCGCCACTAAAATTTGTGTAATTTAAACTGAAAGCCGTTTAAGGAAGTGAAACCTCAAACAAATGATTCGTGGGACCTTTAAACACATTTTTCCCAAACAAGACATATCTCCCATTACCTACCTACTTATAACCCTTTAAAATATATCATCCTTAAGCCTTCAAACTCCAATTTTTTACCTTGGTAAAATCCACTGCCAAAAATGCCTCCTCCAAGCCAATGAACATGGTGATGGGTAACATCAGCAGCAATCTGCGCTTCTTCAACATATTCAGGGTGGACAGCAGTAACTTCCAGCCAGAGGCGTCCTTGCCGCCAGACTCCCCCTTCTTGGCTCCATATCTGAAAAAATAGAAATAAATTCTAAAAATTGCCTTAAATTTCTCAAAACCCACCTTTTCAACGAATCCACTCCAAAAATAATCAACAATACCGCTCCCACCATACAGGCCAAAAATATCGAGTTCAATAATTGGATCTTACTCGGTTCGGGAGGTGTTAAATTTGGATTAACCTCCGCCTTAATGCTGGGACAAAATTTCGCTCCACACAACTCTCCCACCAAATGTGAGGTGTCATTCGCAGATGTAGTATTTTCGCCCGCAGGACCACCCAGCGATAGAACCGATGATGATATCAGATTTCCCCATACCTGGGCCATTTGATAGAAGATGAAAAAAAGGCCAAAGAATTTCACAGTGTTATCATCCTTTTGTGATTTGTGGCCCGAAACATAAGTCAAGGCCTCAGCCACCGTTGAGAGGTAGGTACATTTGGCACACCATAGAGGGCCACCGCCAAAACCAACCATAAGACCAGCTGGTATCAGGGTTACGAAACGTGGATAAAACTGGGCAGCTATATAGGGCATATAGGCAAAGAACGACAGGGCCATGGTGAGTTTGACGCCGAACCATCTGAAAAATGGAGGAAAATATTTTTTTTATTAATTAAAGTTTAAAATATAGAGGGCGTTAAGTTAACTTGTGCAACTTTCTGCCGGAATTGGCGGTTTAATGAAATTCAAATTCCGAAAAATTTTGGTAAAGCCAGTTTATTAAACACCCCAGCCGCTGGAATTGAATGCCTGAAAGATAGGCAGCAAATGAGGTTCATAATCGAAGAACTCTAAATTGAAATCAAATACAGGTGGCGTTATAGCAACTTGAGCAGCTTTTTGCCTCAATTGAACAGTGAAAATAGGTGACAAATGCACGGCAGTGTCAGTATTAAAAATAACCGAGTCGGGGACCTTGAAGGTTTACAAAAACCATCATCCACAGGCGATAAAACCAGATGAAGCCAAGATGATACTCAAAATTTAGATGGCGTTACGTCAAGTTTGTTCATGGCTAGGCGAAAATGTATTGCATACTTTTAGGCAAACACATAAATTTTTAGATAGTAAATGTTCACAAATGATTTTTCAAAATTTATCTCAGGTATTTTCGGGAATTATCTCCAGTCTGTTTTTTTAAGTTTTCATATTGCCTAACCCGATTGGAAATCTAGGGCATACTTTTAGGTTAAAACATATATTTTGAAATAATGAAAGCGATGGCGTTAATGTCTGTCATCGAAGAGAATCTTTAATTTGAGAAGAAATCATGGAAAGAACCAATCGTTAAAATATTCCAATCGAAGTACATAAAAGTATGAATGATAGACCCCAAAAGGGCATAAAAAACGGTTGTGTTCAAAAATGTAAATCTACATCTAGGTGGCGTTACAGCAACTTACGCAACGTGATCTCTTAATTGGATGAAATTTGAGAACCATTTTTAAATACCCCAGCATTTGTGAAAGATATACAGCAAAGGGCGTTAAAAGCCGATAGAGCTAAAAATAAAATTGAAGATATAGATGGCGTAGTAGTAACTTGAGTACCTTTGTGCCTGGATTGGAAATAGTTTAAGGAAGTTGACATTAGCGAAACATTCATGGCAATGTCAATATTTCCAATACCCGAAAAAACCTGAAAATTGGAAGCAAAGGTCGATAAATCCGGATGATGACCCAGATTGTGTTCCACATCTAGGTGGCGTAACGTAAACTTTGCAGTACTATGTCTGCCTTTATTAAAGTTTGGGAAAATTTTAATTTGAGAAAAAAGACATTGAAAAGCCAATATTAAAAATATTTCTGTCACAGGATTGAAAGGCTTTAATGATAGACAGAAAAATGGTCATCGAATCGGAAGTAGTCCAAAATCTACAACTAGGTGGCATTACAATAGGTTAGGTTAGCATTTTTCTAGATTGTATGAGGTTTGAGAAACATTTTTTATACAGACCTTAAACTTTTCAAAGATAGACAACAAAAGGCGTTAGAAGCCAAAGGAGCGAAAAATTCAACTTAACATATAGATGGCGTTGTAGCCACCTAAGGAGATTTATGTCTGAAATTGAAGAAGTTTAAAGAAGTGCATATTAACGAAACAATAATGGCAAATCCAATATTTCTAAAAGCACAATGGCGAGCCTTTGAAGTCTGAAAATCGAAAGCAAAAGACGTTTAACCGAATGATTTCAAAATTATATTTCACATGTAGATAGCGTAACGTTAACTTTGCAGTATGTACTATGTCTGCCTTTAATGCGGGTTGGGAAAGCTAAAATTTGAGATAAAACCAATATTCGAAATATCCCTGTTACAAGAAATAAACAGCAATGGATAGAAAAGTTGGCGTAATCCAAAATCTACAACTAGATGGCGCCACAAAAACCTGTGCAACTATTTCTCTAAATTTGATGAGGTTTGGAAAACATTTTCAAATGCCTCAACCACTGAACCTAATCTTTTGAAAGACAGACAGCAAATGAGGTTAAAAGTAAATGAATCGAAAAATCGAACCTAACATATAGGTGGCGCTGTAGCAACTTGAGTACCTTTATGCCTGAATTGGACGCTTGTGGCTGGACTTTGAAAGAATGTTTTTTTGGAAACCTCGTTTTGGAGGAAGTCCTCCAGTCCGATCCTATGAACACTTTTATATACATATTTATGTATTCTTGTATCCATGTATTCTTGTAAACAGAGTACAATTCGTATTTATTGCCCGATCCAGATGAAATTTTGCAGAAGTTGTTTATTTGACCCAAGGACGAACTCTATTGAAATTAGAGATAAACGTTCAAAATTTGGATATAGCTTCCATATATATCTTCGTCCGTATTGCCTTTTGTTGTGCACCAAACGTGTAATATCAGCCCAAATAGTATGAAATTTTGCACATACGACCAAATTAGGCCTGAAAAGAGGTATACCAAATTTGATCAAAATAGGCTCAGATATAGCTATAGCTCCCTTATATATTGTTCATCAGATTTGTTATTATGTCCTACACCACGGTATGGAGGGTATATTAAGTTTGTCATACCGTTTGTAACACCTCGAAATATACATTTTAGACCCCGTTCTTGATCAGCATAAAATTCTATGCCGATTTAGCGATGTCCGTCCGACCGTCTGTGGAAATCACTCAAACTTCCGAACGAATTAAAGTAGATTGATAAAATTTTACTCAAATGTATATTATGTCTTCAGGACTTTTGATATTGAAAATGAGCCATGTAGGTCCACGTTTTGGAATAGCCTCCATATAATGGTACCTCCCGATATTCCGCATTTTGATGATTTTTGCGGCAATATTCATCGGAATTGTTTCAAATTTGGTATTTGAAGTTCGAAATGGATAGTACAGCCTATGACAGAAAATTGTCTATTCATGTCCACCTCTTCGTAGAGCCCCCCTATAAAAGTACCTCCCGATATTCGGTATTTTGATGATTTTAGCGATATTGCTCACCGCATTTGTTTAAAATTTGGTATTTGAAGTTCGTAATGGATTCTACAGCCTAAGACATAAAATTGGCTGTGCATGTCAACCTCTTCGTATAGCCTCCATATAACGATACCTCCCTATTTGATGATTTTAGCGTCATTATTTAACGGAATTGTTTCAAATTACGTATTTAGAGCTCGCAATGGAAACTACAGTCTGTGACAGGAAATTGTCTATGCAGGTACAGGTCTTCGTATAGGCCCTCCCTATATTCGGTAGGTACAATACTCACCGAAATTTTTTGAGATATCGTATTTGATGTTAGTAATGGATGATATAGCCTGTGACAGAAAATTGTCTATGCTGGTCCAGGTCTTCGCACAGCTCCGATATAACGGAACCTCCCTTTATACGATATTTTGATGATTTTAGCTACATTATTCACCATTTATTTCAAGTTTCGAATTTCAATATGGTAACGGCTTATGACAAACAATGCTATGTAGGTCCATGTCGTATAGACCCCAATATAACGGCTATATTCGGTATTTTTAAAACTTTTTTAAGGACTTTATTTTTTTTAAAAATTTCAAATTCGTTCCAAATGGTGGAGGGTATTCAAAGTTCGGCCCGGCCGAACTTACTGCTTTTTAACTTGTTTGAGTTGGTTTTCTTTTAAGCTAATCACTTTCCTCTTAGAGTATTCGATGTAGATTTCCCAAAACTACCTATTTTCTATTTCTTAATTTAGTCAAATATTGAAATATCTATTTTGTTGCTGCCCCCCCCCCCCCTCTTTTTGCAGTTTGAACAAGTTATAAATTAATTTGCAACACTTCGCACACAAGTTTTAATGTTATTTAACTTGGCCCAACAGTCCCTTCAAAATGTCTACAATGGGCAATCTTAAGTCCACTTCAACAACTACTTACCTAAAATACTCGTCAAATGATGCTTTTAACGAAATTAAAGTTTTGCTGTTAAAATGTTTTAATTAGCTAAATTTATCAAAAAAAAAAAAATCCTACTTGTTCATTTCGATAAGGCAGGGACGTGGCCAGGGGAGATTTTGTGGCCTCATGACCCCAGCAAGGACTTGAGCTTCCATAAATAGCAACATATTTAAAAGGCTTGGGAAATTTTCAAATTTTAACAAAAACAAAATACTCTAGTCTCGCTTTAATTATGTCGAAGATATTTTACAATGTCGCCCCAAAATATGCAATAAAAATACCAAATATTTGTGAAATACAGACCGTTGTCGGTGTGGCAACATAAAAAGGAATGTTATTAAATTGTAGCATAATTTTAGGGATATATGTTAAACAGCTGGAAATTTTGAATAATATATTTTTGAGGCATATTTTTAAAAAGGGTTTTTATACCCTCCACCATACATAGTATGGAGTGCATATTAAGTCCGTCATTCCGTTTGGAACTCATCGAAATAATAATTTTATCAAAATTTATCAAAAAAAAAAATTCTACTAGTTCATGTCGATAAGATAGGGATGTGGCTGAGGGGAGATTTTGTGGCCCATGCTAGCTAAATTGGTCATAAATTTTTTTTGTTCATTTCGATAAGTCAGGGGCTTGGCAGAGGGGAGATTTCTCGCCCCTTTATCAAAAAACTCTTATTGTTCATTTCGATAAGATAGGAACGAGGCAGAGAGAGGTTTTTCGCCCTCAGAATCCCATCAGGTACTTTTGACTCTATAAATAGAAGAAGTAAAAAAGCTGTAAATTCGGCCGACCGAATTTTGAATACCCTCCACCATTTGGAACGAATTTAGCAATTTCCAAAAAAATAAAATCCATTAAAAATTTTGTTGAAATCTTAAACCAAATGTAGCCATCATATTAGGGTCTAAACGACGACGTGGAACTGCATAGGAAAGTTATGTCATAAGCCATTATAATATTCAAATGCAAAAATTAAAAAAAAAATCGGTGAATAATGTAACTAAAATCATCAATATTGGGAGGTATTATTATATGGAGGCTATGCCAAAATGTGGACCTGCACAGACAAGTCTCTGCCTGAGGCTGTAGTATCCATTACGAACATCACATACCAAATTTCAAAGATGTCCGATGAATATTATCGCTAAAATCATCAAAATACCGAATATC